TATACACACTCTTCCCCTGTGTTGTCACTGCATGCATGATGTGTCAGTGTTGCATGCATTTAATATTTAATAATTAGATCTTCTTCCTTGTGAAAATCAGATGCCTTGTCTTAATGGAGGCAATTGCACTCAAAATGACACTAATGGAGAATATGTTTGTTCCTGTTCAGTTGGTTATACTGGATTTACTTGTGACACTGATATTGATGAGTGTATGGCATTTTTGTAGTCAGACAAATTTCTATTACATGTACAGTTGTAGTGTATACACTAATGTAATATGGGCTGTCTACAATCACTGGACTGGAAAGGTGGAATGGAATAGTGGAATGGCTACTGCAAATATTAATGTGTAGGCATTAGACATAATTTTTGTATCAGAAGTCCCCTAGTTATGTTAGGAGTCCCCTAGTTATGTTAGGAGTCCCCTAGTTATGTTAGGAGTCCCCTAGTTATGTTAGGAGCCCCTAGTTATGTTAGGAGCCCCTATAGTTATGTTAGGAGCCCCAAGTTGTGTTAGGAGCCCCTAGTTGTGCTAGGAGTCCCCTACTTATGTTAGGAGTCCCTAGTTATGTTAGGAGCCCCTAGTTGTGTAAGGAGTCCCCTACTTATGTTAGGAGTCCCTAGTTATGTTAGGAGCCCCTAGTTATGTTAGGAGCCCCTAGTCATGTTAGGAGTCCCCTGTCTGTTCTGGTTTCTTTCCGTTTCTACTTTACTACTAAACAGCCCACTACCCATAATAATTCTTTGTTTTTAATACTGCATCAAATTAATCAAAATCATTCCAGTATTCCATTCCAGTGTTCCAGTCCACCTTTCTAGTCCAGTGATTGTATACTGTAATATGGCATAATTTGTGTTGATTCTAAATTTTAAAGGACTTTTCAAGTTTCTTCATTGTTCATTCAAGCCTAAGTAAGTTTCAATTAAACTTGCTTCAAATTTCCTCCCAAATTTGGCCAAGAATCATTACAAGGAATGATTGAAAATGGCTAGGAAATAATTATCTCTTGACTACATTTTCAAATCTCTTGACTACATTTTCTGATGAAATTTCCTTATGTGTATTAAGTAATGTGTCTTAAGTATAGAGTTACATTTTTTTTAAATTTAAACTTTTTCCAATAAAACCAGTGGCGTAGCCAGACCTTTTGTGATGCCTGCATAGATACTACATGTAGTATCTATGATGCCTGGGCCGGGGGGCAAAAATAATTGGCACGCGAAGCGCACTGAAAAATTTTCACGCTGTTAATGTTATTCATGATGGGCATGGTCAATTAAACCGGTGGAAAATGGCTGCTTTTGAGTAGAATTTGTATGAGATCGCTGGTTTTTGTGTTAAATCTCACAAAATACTATTGCTAAGCAATCAAAATCAAGGAAAGAAGTCATATTCTTGTAGAGCAGTGCTCAATAATCTCTGGTAAACAATTGATCATTGATATTTCAACTGTCTAATTATTTGACCTGGGATCTGATACCCGGGCCCAGGCCCGGCAGGCCCGGGTGTAGCTACGCCACTGAATACAACTCCATTCAAGGTATAATGGAGAAGCTCGAAGATTAATGACTTCATAATTACAACAATACAAATACAAATAATAATAATAATGAAGCACCATGGTGCGTGGACTCGCCTGCTGAGATTCACCTGAGGGATAATGTGTTACTTGTATTGCCTCCATCATGATATTATATATATAAGCAACTTGATATTTGAAAAAAGGATAATAGATTTTGACAAAGTGCACCAATGCAATTAGCCAATTACTGCACTGATCCATAAAATAAATTATAGGTGTGGTCAGCACCTAGCACTTGCACTGCAGTGCAGATAAACATGGCACGTGGGTGGGAGAAAGAAGAAAAGCTGAAATTTATTTTAGCATCTGAAGCTCTATTCAAAGAAAGAGTAAGCACAAAAAATTTGCCTAGATATTTAAAAGAGACTGAGATAGTTTGGTTGCTCTTGCTTTCCCTAGTGCTGCCTGAAAATTTTTTGAAGAGGCTAAATCACAAACTTTGAGCAACTGTAACTCGCAAACAAAAAAGAGATTAGAAAATCCCCACATATTTTTTAATCTAGGTACTTTTCTCTACCTATCAATGCTAATTTTGACCAAATAGAGTGAAACACGAAGATTTGGCTAGGAAAAGTGGTCTATTCTTGAAAATATTCCGCTTTTGCTACCACGGATTGCTATGAAAATACAACGGAGCTAAATAAATTATCTTTTTCTCAAAGCTTAAAAAGAATTATAACTCAGGAGAGCTTAGTAAAAAAGATATTGACTAGGAATTAACAGGAATTTTCGTGACAGAATGACAGACAGACAGAATGACAACCCAACTGCTTAGTACCCGCCTACGCAAGCGTGGCGAGTCCAATAATAATAACTATAATAATAATAATTTTCTAATTGAACACAAGAATGCAAGACATTAAAGGCTCCACCTGTCAGTAATTTACAACTAATTCACCAATTAAATTAGCCATTAAGCTCAGCCCAATTCGTACG